ATGCAGATACAATGCACATAATAATATACATTATAAGTTGGTTATCAGAGTAAATATGTCTTATATGTTATATAACGCAAAAATAACTTAAGTAGATATATTATATCAATTTTTAAAAATATCTTTACCGATTTTATTATAATATTAAAAACAAGTTAAATAAATCTAATTTTTCTTAAAACTATTATATAATATTAAATAAATTCTAGACTTMATTTTGTCAATAAAATAAACATAAATTTCTCTCTCTCTCTCTCTCTCGGATACAAATAATTAAACATTTAATACGAATTACTCTCATAGAAATTATTAATTTCAAAACCAGCATAAAATCTTGTTATTAAAAAATAAAAACGAAAATGTTTCTTAAATKATGAAATATGACCACAATTAACGTACATTCATAAATCAAATTTATAGGTTTTTTTTTTTTATACTAATATTATTTCATAAGGTGTTTGTTTAGATAATATTATTATAATTCATAATAATTCAAAAATCCTAAACTTTTTTAAAAATTTAATTAAAATCGTGTTAAATTTGGAAATTACATAGTAATCTAGTGAAGTCAATGGACAATGAGTAATAACATGAGTAATTCCATTACACGTCTCTTGTCAGCAATGGAAGAATAACTGTTAGTTTTTGTTTTACAAATTACAATGTTAACTATTATGAGAGTGAAATATGTATGTATAATATATCCTACAGCAGGGTTTTYGGTAAGATTGTAATTTAAAAAAATAAATAAAGGCCAACCAACTGCCGTATAGCTCGCAGGCAAACAAGGATACTAATTGAATGTGACAGCGGGATGAAGAAATATCGTCCTTGTAATCTCAGTTTTATTAACTTCGTACATGGTCTCGTACTTAACGCGTAGTAAACCATGGTACATTTTATGTTTTGCTCCCTAAAATACACGTAAAGCCTGGAGTTAATATAACCTAGCGCTCAGTAAATTAGAGACGCCAAAAATCAGATCAATATTAAATACCAACGCACTRGTTTGTTTTTTATTCGTAGGATGTATGAATTTCACTTACGATCCTCAAGACTTTGCAGTCACGGGAAGCATGTTTATGGACGATGAATCATTGTACGAGTACAAGATATCCGGTATGTATTATTYACTAAATATTATATTAATCGCACTCTTGTATAATAGAATTATTACTCCAAGTCTCCAAATGGTTCTATAGCACCTTCATTATCAATATGTTAAAAATTCTTTCTATCATTTCTATCATGATTATATGATACCTTTCAACAACAGTTTCAATTATTTGTATCAAAAGTCAAAGATTCCAATTGTCAAATTTAACAGTGAATACAGATTTCCGGAGATGATCATTGAGATAATTTTGACTAGGAACATGTACAGGCATTCAAGCTGCGGCTTGAAAATTGAATTAACGTACACATTCGTTATACTTCAACAAATAACAATASAAAAATTCAAGCAACTTGAACTCAAATTAAACTGCGTTGCACAAAGTACCTATGCTTACAAATTCGATACCGTATTGTTTAAGGTAGGTAATTAAAAGGAATGGCTGTGGGTGAGTTGCGGCCTGACTTGTCGTTTCCGGTGTTGAAAACCGGTGAATTCCRGCCCGATAATATTTTAAGTATAGGTTAGTTGCGGCCCTACAATATTTTAGCGGTAGGTGAGTTGCGGCCCTGTTTCTGCCATGCCCGGGTGAGAGGCGGCGGCTTCTCTTTCCAAACAACATGAACTGCCCGGAAAGCGATGCCGCCCATGACTGGGATTCGAACCGGCGACGGTGCGCGTCGCAACCGACGCCTAAATCCACCCGGCCACTACACCCCCTAAAAATATTATTAATATATGAATGCTTTTATTTTTTTTATTTTTTTGTCTTTATTATCATAATATATTACAACAATACTTTTATTTTTAACATTTTGATYATTATATACTTTATTTTTATAACACGAAAAAATATTATTACGTAATTTTKTRATGTTTATATACTATATGTATATTATAGTCATATAGTTTAAATACATTATTATATGGCCGCAACTCGTACGTCATTTAGGGATTGGGCCGCAACTCACCAACACTGAAAGGAATGAACCTTTAAAATTTGAACATTTTGTACCTGAATCGTGGACATCTCTTCCATCATCAATTATTTTTGATTTAGTAAGGCATCATTCCACGACACTTTTTGATGAAGACTCTCCCCTCCCCCCCAAAAAACAGGTTATAACTATTTATAATAGTATTAATAGTAGGTATTATAGTATTTATTATTTAATATGAAATTGTTATTTTTTTTTTTTTTGCTTGCTATCCAATCTTATCTGAATACAAATTAAAAGT